TGTGAAGATTTGCTGAAGAAATATGGTCTGAGTTTCTAGTAGTGACTTGCAACAGACTTCTTGCTAGAATGCCAAAAATAATAGCGAAAGTTACCCCAAACGAGTGTGGTTTCATTGGATACTAATCTAAGTTTACTTATAAGAAGAAAAAAGTGAAAAATATCTAATACTTTCCGAGTTCTAGACTTAGAAGAATGGGTGTACTTATTATTTCGGCCAGCCCATTTTCATGCTTTTTGGATAAAATTGACCCCTGTCTCTAAATTTGAAATGTAAAATCCTTTAGGCAGTTATTTTTATTATCTGGAATAAGTACGGAAACTAAAAATAAATTGGGTTTTTTCCTTAAGTTTATCAAACAAATTTTATAGGACTTGAAACAAACCACATACGCATGTACTTATTATTTCGGCCAGTAGTGTATATATTTTAGATAGGGTATTCAAGGAAATTCCCTATTGAATTCAACCTTTAGGATCCCTGGTTTTTTAGTTTTATTTGTAATTTTTTTTAGGGGCTTTTTTTGGGCGTTGGGATCTCTTCTTCTTCGGCTTCTACACCTCTTCCTCTTGTGGATCCTACGCTTCTTTGGTTTGCCTTTGCCTTCTTCTTAGAGCTTCCTTTTTGCCTTTGGTTGCGTCTTCAATTGCTGTTTGTTGTTGTATTTCTTTATTATCAACAGTATTGTTGTTATAGTTGTTATTGTAATTGTTGTTGTTGTTGTCAGGCGTGTGCGGTGCGCGTTGAATCCGCTATAACAGTGTTAGTACGTTAGTAGGTATACAAACAGGTAAAACAGGTATTCCCAGCCGCTCTTTCAATCATCATTATCATCAACATCATTACGATCATGAAGTTCCTCATCTTCTGCCTCTTCCTACCACTATGGATATATTCTACTTCTTTAACTTCACTTGAAGCATTATTTTAGCGACAATTGAACAAATAAAGATAAAAACAAAAGCATAAAAAGAGCAATAAAAAAATTATGTGCACACAAAAATTAATAGTAGGGGGGTTCTATTTAAATATTTGTTTATATATAATAATAATATTTTATTTTAATAAATTATTTTAATTTATTAACATTTAAAATAAATATATTTCATATAAAAATAAATGAATAAAAAAAATTTTTTCTATGTGAAAGCTTAAGAGAACGAAGAAGCTAGCAATGCAAGCGCAGTGAGGCCCAAAGGAACACATTCTTAAACACAACAATTACCCAGGCAGCGCAAAAAGGGGGTGGGAAATGAGGGAAAACAGGCGAAGAAGAGGAGCAGAGCAGACGCTAAGAACGAGAAAATTCTGCTGGCTGTGTGTGGAGCCCTCCTCTACTTCTACTGCCTCCCTCGCATCCCTTATAGTCCAGGCCCCCCCAGCCAAAGTCAAGGCATTTACAGCCCAGTGAACACACTCACTCACCATGTGCAGTTTCTGCACACATCTATATATATTAATATATATAGAACTGATTCCTCAGTGGTGTTGGTCTTTGTCTTGGTCTATACCTTTGGTGGCCAAGGTCTGGGGCCAGCAACAACAACAACAATGACAACAGCAGCTATAACCAGCTCGAGTCTCTGTTGGTTTCGCGATCAAGAACCTGAGATTCGCTTTTGGTCGGGAAATCTTGATCAACTATCTGCCGCCGCTTTACAAAGGGCTTATATATATGTATATATAATATGAGAATATAATTACAAGTCAGATTCGATTTATTTATTACGTTAGACTGAGTAAATGAAAAGTGCAGCTTTGGGGGGTAAGAAAAAAAAATTCCTTAATATGGTTGTAAAAATGTAAATTGTTATTAAAAATAGGAAAAAAAAATATAGAAAAATTTTGATTAAAATTAGAAATAGGAAAAATAGATAGAGGAAAGATAGGATTAGAAATAAAATATAGGTTCTATAAGCCTAAAGAATATATACTAGCAACCTAAAAAAATTTAATAAATATTTCAATATTTCCAAGTGTACTTAAAAATTACTTTTATAAAATTCAAATTTTATACTTTATATAAATATTGTATTTATATACATTTTATTTATGTTTCCTGTCAATTAAAAGTGAAAGCAAAGCAAAGGATGATAACATATTGATTAAAAGAAATTATAAACTATAATATAATTACATTTATTCACTAAATATATAAAAGTTTGTTCATTTATTTATTTTTTTAAAGTGTATTTATATTTCTTTTACATATTTATATTACTTTTTTTATATGTTATAAAACAAAATCAAAAAATATACAAAATATAATAAAAATGTTAATAGTTTTAATACCAAATAAAATTAAAAAAAAAAATTAAAATTATACTTTTAAATAAAATTAGAATCTTTAATATAACTTTATTATTTTATATACATTTTTACTTTATATTTTCCTTTATTAAAATAATTTTCCCAAAAATTAAAAAGAATCCATAAAATCAAAAGACTTAGGACACGAACTTGTTATTAAAATAGTACCAAATAAATTTCAAAAATCTTAAATAAAATCTTAAATTAAATTAAACTCCCTTATCCATGTATTATCTATATTATATATGTATATACATATGTCTATATGTTTGGGTTCTGGGCCAGAACACTTGCATTTTGGCCAGCGAGCGGAATTTCGAGTGAGAGTGAAGTTGGCGCAGGAACAACGCTACAGCTACAGAATAACAACAACAACATCACCATTGTAGATGTTCTTCGGCAGGCTCCACTGAAGAAGCAAAATCAGAAGAAAAAGAAGAAGAAGAAGCAGTAGCAGAAGAAACAGAAGATACTTCTGCCAGCGCCGCGGCGGCGCTGCTAACGCCAACGTCACGACATTAACATTGCCGCTGTCTCAACGGCAAAGTCACAGTCAAAGCCAAAGTTAACAACAGGTTTTTAAGGTGCCGCTCTCTGGCTCTCACAATCTAACTCTCTTATTCTCTCACGATCACTGGTGCACTCGGAGAAATGCCATTTTAATCACTATATAACTAAAAATTTAAGTTTTTTATAATAAATAAATAATTAATAATAAATTACAATCCTACATATTTATTTATTTAATAGAAATAATTATAAAATACAGAGAAAATAAATAAATTGTATATTTTTTTAAATTATAATCCCTTTTTAATAAATGTTGAAAAATTTGCACTGATTTTTTGAGTGTTCTTAGAAACGATCTTCGTTTTTACCTTCGGCTGCGACTTGATCTTCGTTTTCAACTTCGGCTCAGGCGCTCTCCCTCTCACTCTCGTTCTATCTCTGTCGTTTTTCGCTCTCTCGCCGCACACCAGCACAAAGTTAGCTGTAAATTTGTTACGTCGCCGCAGAAGAGCGTGCGTGAGAGTGATCGGCATGTATGTGTGTGTGGAACACAGGTGGGCGCTGCTTGAATTCGACGCGCTGAATTCGCCGTCGCTTACATCACTTGTGACGCCGTGTGTTTGTGTGTGAAATAACGTTAGTTATCCGTTGGCATCGCACCTGTGCGTGCTAGAGAGAGACAGAGCCTGCTTATCTTCCTTTCTCCCTCTCTGGCTCTCATGGGCAGAACAAATCTCTCTGGGCTCTCTCTCTCTCTCTCAGTCTTATTTGCCATTCTAAGCGCATTCTAAGTGATGATCATCATCGTGATCTGGACAGGTAAAGAGAGGTGAGGGAAGGTAGGTCCCGGGACTCACCTGAGAGCGAGAAATGCCTGCGTTGCCAACTATTTTGCCGTTTAATTTCGCTTATATGGGTACTTTTTTTTTTCATTTTACTTGCCGCAGTCGCTTCTTCGGCTTGTTATTTCTTCTTATTGTATTTACCGCGACTCGACTCGACTCTCTTTCCTTTACCAAACACACACACACACACAGAGGCACACCTTTAATGATGATGAAATTCTTAAAGGGCCGCGGAAAACAACAAAACTATTGGAATTTTACCTCCTTTTCTGTTACCTCCTTTTTGGCTGTGTTTTTTCTTTCGTTATTCTCAATTTGAAAGCGAAAAAAAAATCAAAATCAAAAGACTTAGGACACAAACTTAAGCTGAGATACTAAAAAGGTCTATGCGAAGGATATTTGTGTGTTCTTAAGCCAAATCCTTTTAGTTTATTAATTTTTTAAATTTTACAATCAAAAGACTTAGGACACAAACTTGCAAGGAAATCGAATTTGTAAACAAAATATTATTTATTTTATTATTATTATTCTAAGATATGATTTTCCCCTTTATCTTTGACATGCAAAAGATATAGCAAAACGTGTTGCGATTTTGTTATTGCGAAAAATAACGAAAATGAAAGCAATATTAAATCAAATGACTTAAGACACAAACTAACTCCACACTTGATTTTAATAAATAAATAAATTATGCTGGAAAATGTTCATATAAATACTCAGAAATATTTTTCAAACCCCAAAGGACATGAATTCATCACATCTAAACCCGCTATATCATAATTCCAGCAGTCAAAAGGAGCTAAGAAATAAAAAATAAATAAATATATATACAAAAACAACTCTAAGTACAACAAGTACAGCTCCAAAGAGCGCGACACAGGCGATGGAAGTTGGTAGATTGGAAGGAGAAGGGAGCAAGACCATCTCAACCGGCAAATGGCCAAAGCAAAGAACAAACGAAGCACCAGCAGAAGCAGCAACAGCAACAGCAACAGCAACAGCGATCATCGTGATCATCGTTGTGATCATTACCTTGACTCTGACAGAGACAGGTAGAGAGAGTGCCAGAGAGAGCAACACAACGGCGAAAAACTGCATGAGAAACGTTATGTGAGCGAAATGAAACACACAAAAACACTCTCACTCTCCTCTCACAGGTGCGCGTTAGCCCGAGAGCCTCACCTTTTCGACTTCGGCTGGCGATCGGGATGTTCGCCGAAAGCGAAGCTGCTCTCTCTCTCTCGGCTTACGGTGTTTTGCAGCGAATTCAGAGCGCCGTCTAACTGAGTTTGTTGTAGCGGCGAGATCGATCGGCCGCCTGCCTGACTTTGGCCTAACTGCTCCGCCGTGCGGACCGCTCGAATACAGTAAGTGGCGAGCCGGCGTTGTGAATGCACGTGTTTTCGCTTCAACTCACCTGGGCGAAATCCCAAAACAAAAAAAAAAAAAAACACAGCAACAACCAAACCAAAAATCAATAAAATATAAATTCCTCAAAATATAAACACCAAGCACATTATAAAACATGAAATATTAACGAGTACTGTGAGATATCGGAAACGTATATATTATAAATACATCAGAGTGTTGTGTGTGAAAACCAAACAGAAAATACAATTTTTTTCAAGTGACAAAGAACAAAACTGCTAAAAATACAAATAAAACAAATCAAAACATCTAAATTTTTTTTCAAGTACAATTTTTTCAAAGTGTTTGAAAAACGAATTCAAATATTTTAGGAACTAGAAAAAAAAACATACACACAAGGATAATTTTCCAAGTCACAAGGATACGATCTAAGAAAAGACATGAAGAGGGCCAAGCAGAAGGCGATTTGAGCTTCTAGCTCTCCATGACACGAAAAAAACCAAATAAAAATTGGTTATTTTTTTTTTTTTTAATATATAAATTAAATACATATAAATATAAAGTGGACGAGCGGCAAACAAACATACACACACAATTGGATTAGTGTTTTGTTTATTTCGGGACACTTGGTGACTGTCCCTCGTCCACCCAAAAAAAAAAAAAATCAAAAATAAAACAAATAACTAGCTCGCCAGCAGCAAGTCCGTCGCGTGTCGTGGTCGCCGTCTCCGTCGTAGTCGTCGCCGTCGCGTTGCGCCAATCATTTATCGTATATCGCTAATCGTTCATCGTTAATCGCTCAACATGCCGAAGATATTCCTGATCAAAAATCGATTGCACCAGCAGCAGCAGCGTTTGCTGGAATCACAGAATTTGCTACAGCACAAGAGCCAGGATGACGAGCGGTGTCTGGTGCCGCCCTTGAGCCCAAATAATGGTGGTAGTGGTAGCGGTGCCGGCCCTTCGCCCACCCCCACACCCTCACCGCCGCCCACCGGGCAACCTCCGGAGCCGCAAGGCCAAGGCCAGGCCCAGGATCATGACCAACAGCCGCTGAGCCTCACGCGTAAGCGATTCCATCATCGTCGCCACTATTTTGGACAATCGCGCAACAGCCTCGATCTGGGACATCATCAAAACTCCAATCAAAACCAACTCAATCAGAATCAAAATCTAAATCTAAATCAAAGTCCCGCGGAATTGGAAGTGGAGCGTTCAACAGGCCAAGTTCAAAATGGTAAGTTTCGGGTTCTTAAAAAATAAAACTTTCTTTGAAAATACTAACAAAATTCAAGACTTGAAGAGAACTGAGAGAAGAATAAGTTTAGGGAAAAATTTTAAAAATAAAATAAATATGGGGTAATAAAAATAATATAGTAGCAGGTTCTTATAGTAAATATTTTGCATTAAACTTTATTGAAATGGTCTACAGAATTAAAAAAAAATCAATACTGAATCAAGTTTATAGAGTTCTTAAGACTTTCAATTGTTTCTATAAAAAACTTTCCCGACAATTTTATAATTTTAATAATTTAATAACAATTATTTAAAAACATTATCTGTGATTTTGATTGTATTCTAAATCACATTTTCTACTGCAAGATTTTCTACTTTATAAAGTTTGAAATTAAATTTAAAATATTATTTTAGTTACAATAACTTCAAGCAATATAAATTCCTTCTTAAAATCCCTCTCACAATTCTTTCTCAAAAAAAAAAAAAACAAGAGTGGCAAACAACAGAGGGAATTCTAATTTATTTAGATAAATAATTGCTACAAATGTGTCAGTCAGTTTATTATTATACTTTTTTTTTGGCAGAAAAATATACTAGAATACAAAATGCCCAGCTTGGAAATCATTTCAAGCTTCACTTTTGGCTTTTGTTATTTTTTTTTTACTGTTCTTGTATTTTATTCTTATTTATTTGTATATTTCGCCCACACCATGACGATTCGCTAGGCTTCCAGTATCTGTATCTTTGCTTCGTTATTTGTATCTGTATCTGTACATGTATCTGTATCTGCCCTGTCTATCTTCCATTCTCTATGCGGAGCTGGGCTTACTTCAACATCAATCACTTTCATTGAATTTCGTAAGCGTTTTTATTTCGTTTTTTTTTTTGGCTAAAAGCCCAGGCCAGAGTTCTCCCCATTTTCTGTTCTGTTCTGTTTCGTCTGTTGGCGTTATATAATCTCAGCTTATTAAGTCATTTCGATTTTCGATTTAGTCGGCATCCCCCCAGAGCTTGGCTTAGGTTAAAGGTTTTAATTTTCATAAATGATTAGGCAAAGAACTTTCTTCGATTCGGTTGTTTATTAATTAAGGTATTTTCGATTTTATTTGAAAGTGAGTTTCGTTTTGGCTTTACTTCCATCTCTTTTTGTGTTTTTTGAGCTCTGTTTTTTTCTCAAATCTTTTGTTTCTAAGCTTTTAACTGCCCTTTGTCTGGCCTTAATTATATCTGTATTTATTTTTAACCATAGCCTGGCTGGGGCTTCACTTCAACAGAATCGTCTCACACGCAGCCTCATAATTTTGCCTTCCCCCCTTTTCTTACCTTACCTTACATGGGCATTATTTTTCATGGTTATAGCTTATGTATAAATATTTTGCTGTTGTTCATGGAGCAAAAAAGTGTTATATACATTTATTAAATTAAATAACACGTTGCGTTCTTGGTTCCTCATCATTCTCTATCCTCCTTCTGGTCTATTGCCTATCCCACTTAAAAATGTATTATGAATGCTTCCGCTGTATAATTTTTATGATTTCTGCGGATATTGTAATGGAAGCTATTTGAAGGGAAATCGCTTTTGCTGCCTTATGAAATGAGAAGATTGCAAAAAGTTGATGATTTATGATCCAGGGAGGAAGCTTCTTAATGGGAAAGGGTTATTTTGTGTAATGTGCTAAATTAGGATTCAAATTAATCACATTTGGTCACACTATATTGAGCCTTGTTATTACTATTTTACAAAGAATTCAAAGATTTCTATAACTTTTCTTTTATGTTCTTAATAAAATATGTTAGTTGGTTTATTTTCTCCCCTCCCCCACTTTTCCTCCCTCTAATCACCCATTGCTCTGCTTTAAAAATACATCTGGTCACACAACCAGCTTACTCTTTGTTCAATTACCGCGTACGGTTCTCGGGTTTTTTTTTTTTACCCCCTACCTTCTGCTGGCTATGCCCATGGCCAAGAACTTCACACACTTGAGCGAACACTCACACACACACACACACACAGAGAACACAAGCTTGAACGAAAGAAAAAAAAAAATTATATAACTAGCAAAGTACAAGGTACTAAGAGCCAAGCAAAACAACAAAACCAGAACCAAGCAAAAGTACAAGTTTGCAAGAAGATGAAGCCAAAGCCCAGGCCCCACCAAAGCAGCGAAAAGAGTGTGGAGCAGAAAGAGAACTTTTTGCAGCCTAGACTAGCGCTGAACTTAACTACACACAATGACTAAGATCACGATGATGATGATGATGATGATGATGATCACGAGGAGAGCCAAGTTCAGAGCAGGAGGAGAGGAGCAGGATGAGGACGCTGGGTGGAGTGCATTGTAGGCACGTCGTCTGCCATTTGGCCTAAGCAAAGTCAAGGCAACTGGCCATAATAAAACTTGTAGAACCAGTCAAATGGAGACGAAAAAAAAGAAGCGGAGAAGAGAACCACCAGAAGAACGCCCAGAAGAACAGAAAGGCTGAAAAGAACACAAAACTTGGCTAAAAAAAAAATATATATATATAAAATACGCTCTCTGAAGGGCCTTGGAGGATGGAGGCACAGAACCACACATTCGCCAAAAAGATGGCAAAAACGATGCCCGAGAAAATCATACATATACAATACATACTAAATATGGGCAAGAATTCCTCCTCCTAGTTTCTAGGCACCTCCTCTCCACAGCTGGAAATGTATATAAAAGTTATGAGCATAACTTCCTGTTACATTTTTCTCTATCTCCCATCAGCGATCTTTCTTTCTTTTCTCTCCTTTTGGCCGCTAGTAAAAGTCAATAAATAACCGAAAGGAAATTCATTGATCGACCGATCAACGATAAAGAAATTGCCAAAATAAAAAAATAATGCCAAGCGAAATGGAAAAGGAAGAAAAAGGAGAGCGATCCATGCAAATTCTGCAGCTGTTAGAAGACAAGCAAAAGTTCAATTGCACGCAGCTTACACGCAGATGTTGCAATCCTCGAGCGGAAGTCAGCGAAAGGTTCCCTCTCTGAAGATTGCGACCCTTTTTCTACTCCGGAGACAGAGATACGGATACGGACCGGGACTGGGACTGGGACTGGGATCGGGAGGAGTTCAGCGAACCCTCGGTAAACAACACTTACCGTCGCGTCGACGGTCGCTCAAAAGCAAAAGTCAAGTGGTTAAATGAGGTAAATGCAAAAAAAAAAAAAAAAAAAAAATAAATAAATAAAATAAAAGAGAAAGACCACGGGACAGGGGAAAACAAAAACCGAAAAACTATTACTATTACTTCATAGGGCAAGTAAGTGCTGTGCTGCTGGGATTTTCTATGGAAATCGAATCTCTCTCTCTCTCTCTGGCAGTTCTATTGTTTATTCAATTAAGCCTTGCCCGAGATCGCAGTCTGACGATCAAGAACATCGCCAGCTAATTGGGAGTTGGTATCTAAAATCTTCAGCTTGGATTGAGCCTATGTAAATGAATCGAATGATCAAGTCAGGCCTACATTTTCGTTGACTTTTGTGGTATTATCTAAGATTGTAGAGGATGCATATATATTTATTACTTAGCTGAGGGGGGAACATCTTCATAAAAATGTCAGGAGAACTTATTTGGTATTTAAATTTGTGGATATAAATGAAAGTTCTTTGATTACCCTAGGAACAATTTATATATTTTTTTAAAATTAAGCTTCTCAGAGGTAAAATGTAGTAAATAAAATGAAATAAAATAATAATAATATAAAAAATAAACTATTTCAAAAATGTAAAGTATTATTTAATATCAATATTAGTATTATTTCAAATATTTTAAGTGGTAAAAATATATAAATTCTTTAGATTTTAAATATTTAATTTAATAAATACAAGAAATTACGATTTCTAAAAGTTTAAAGTTGTAAAATTCACAAGTTAAGTAAACAAATGACCTAAAATAATATTAAAATAAGAAAATCTGTTTAAAAAACCAATTGCATAAAATTATAGGTTTTAAATAAGGTTTTACTTACTTAAAATCAGTATATAACATTTTCTTAACAAAATACATTCATCCCTAAAAAATCTCCTATATAAATCTCCTATAGAAAAGCTATCAAGTTCGCTGCCTAAGTCATTTGATTACACATAGCATTTCCAATAGGCAGTAAAAATTTGCTTCGTTTGTTTTTCCCTTTTCCCTTTTTACTTCGTTTTCTTATATGTTCTCTCCTTGTTCGTTCTCCTGTATATTGTTTTTTTTTTTTGGCATTAGTTTTACCTGCCTGGGCCACTGATAAAACAATGCACTTGGTTGTGTTAAGGTGTGTAGGTGTGTGCAAGTGTGTGTAGATGTGTGAGGGGGTCTACCTGTGCCAAGGGTTCCTTTTTAATCTCACAACCAAAAACGATATTTGACAATCAGAGAAGGAAAAAAAAAGAGGAAAGCAAAATACAGAAAATAAAGAAAATACAAAAAAAGGGCAAAAAGAGAATCCTGCACACACACACACACTGCACACCTTGATAACATTTAAAGCTGAGATTTATTTGTGCAGTGAATCAACAGCAAGCAAGAATACACAGCACAAAGGAAGCCAGCGGAGGGTTAGAGGGAGGAGACGCCGACGGAGAGGCGGAGACAGAGACTGAAAAACAGGTCTCAAGTGCTGCCAACCGAGGAGGAGAACAAGAAGAAGAAGAACAGAAGTAGGAAGAGGAGGAGCAGGAGGAAGCGGCGGCGGCAGCAGAAGAAGAGCAGCGAAAAAGAGAAGCAGCGAAAAGAACGTAGAATACATTTGAAAAATAATAAAAAAAAAAAAAAAAAAAGGAAGCGAGTGAGTTTTTTTTTCGTCTGCTTTTCACTGCTGCTTCTTGTTGGTGGTATGCAGTTGAAGCAGCGGCAGGAGCAGAAGTAGAAGAAGAAGAAGCAGCAGTGGGAGAAGCGGAACCAAAGAGAAGAAAGAACCCAAGAAGCAATGAATGATCATCAATGATCAAGACGATCATGGTGATGGTGATCATGATCATGATGATGGTG